CTCAAATCTGGAAATAGATCCCTTCAGCTTCTGCAAGTATTCTGGTGTTCAAAACCATGTTACCATTTCTGAAATAAACACTTGAGCAAGTTAAGTCAATGTTGTGACATTGAGCCTGGCAGCTAGAATCCACCAAGAAACACGTGCAATATGTGGGCACAAGGCTTTCAGAAAAATTCTGGATTTTTGTGCCTTTGCAAGACAAAGGCGTGACCCAGCACCTCATGTTTATCAATGAGAATGGTCCCAGCCTTCTGACCCCAGGATACCTGCTGTCCCCTAAAGCCATGCACATCATAGTTATCAATGATCACTGGGGGTTTCTGTGATGACACAGTGAGATAGAGTCCTTGGGGGGGATGGGATGTAGTATGACAAGAAAGCAGCAACAAAGGCAATGCATGACAACTAGCTTTATCACATTCCAGTTGTCACTGAATGGTGTTTCTGTGAAAATACAACATTACTTACTACTGGGAATTTGGAGACATGTAATCACTGCTCTGAACCATTTGTTGGGCTGTGTCCTAAGTTAGTGTCCTAAATGCAGACATGTGAATGACAAAGAGTCTGAGGGTTAGAACTGTGTGTGCAAATAAGTTAGTGACATAGGAAATATCAACAATAATTGAAATTCCCCAAGTAGATTCTACTTTCTAGGCACAGGATACAAGCTGATAAAAACATAAGGGATGGGTCGGTGGCAGTGCAGGGATATGCTGTACTGAGCATAATCAGTGTTTACAATCCAAAGGAAAGAGAAACTCATTAATATTTGATCAGGGTTTCGAACCAGAAAACTTAAAGATGGTGCAAATTTAAAGCCACTCGTGCCCCTGTACAAAAAAACCACATCACAAAGCTTTGTTTGTTTCAAGACTTCTTCACTCCCTCATATGAGAAAACATATTCACCTATTTTTTAAAGTAAGCTACAGAAAGATAAACTATTAATTAATATTTCCATTCAAGTCATTAACCCAGAACTCATAAAAGGTCCCATCCTAGTTTTCAAGGACATGACTTCATCTTCCTTACCAACAGGCAGCCACTAAATACATGGACTGCTTCCCTTCAAAGTGACAAAGACTAAGTTAAAATCCTGTACAATTCTATATTATTTGCCTCCTTACAGAGATCAACAGAGAGTTTGAGGAGATAGTGAAGAATCATATATCATGTAAGAGGGTAACTCAATAGCTCTCCAGTCACACCTTACATCCCAGAATCAGGGGATACCATCACCCCAAGAGATGGCTTTAACCCTCTAGAGAAACCTTTTTCTCCTAGCTTGAACCTGCAAGCCAGCCATTAGGAGGGTATACCCCCATCTCCTGCCCCCATCCAATACCACTGGCCTGGGGAGTTCCTAGTGCCACAGTGGTCACAGTTGCCTTGCTATGAAGATACTCACCTCTGGCCACATCTGAAGCTCACAGGGATTTGAACTATGAAAGTTTACACACTTCAAAGCAGTGCTTGCATATGAGATAGGTAGTCTAGGTGCAGAGGAGAGAGTCATTGTTAACTTAAAAAGCAGCAGGCTTACATGTGGGTCCACAGTGTGCTGACACAGTTCCTTATTCTCTCTGTGTTGGAGGCTGGGTTTTAATCTATTGATTGGTGCCTGTAGACTGCCTACTAGGTTTATTGTAATATGCTCAAATCAGTGCAACAGAATACACTTACTCCAAAGGGGGTACCAACGAGCAACAACTTGTCCCTCTAAGGTGTGTGATATGAGTCAAGAGGTTGTTTTCATGACCCCATGACAAATACATTCTTAGGATATAATGAAGCTGTTCAACTACAGTCACACTCAAACTGATTGAGAAAAGAGGCTGGGCCACAGTCTCTGGACCACTGCACCTATCTGTCCCTGGTTTACCTCACTGTAGCTCCAGGTTCAAAGAACTAACCACAATTTTTATCAAGACACCAATTTTGTTTGTCAAGAATTGCTTTAGCATCCTGCATGGGTGAATAATGTTCCTCTAGAAGCCATAGTTATGAAATGAAAACCTAAGTACCTGATATAAGGTGTTGACCAAAGCTGGGTGGTGGTGTTGCACACCTTTAATTCCATCACTTAGGAGGCAGTAGCAGGTGGATCTTTGTGAGTTCAAAGCCATCCTGGTCTACAAAATGAATTCCAGAACAGCCAGGCTACACAATGAAACCCTGTCTTGAAACAAAACAGCAGCAAAACAAGTTATTGAATAAGGATGGGGAAGGGCTCATGATGCCACTACTCCTCTATAAGGAACTCGTGATAATTGATGGTGGCTGGAGAGGTGTCATTTTCTTCAGTGATATGTCCACTGATAAGTAAATAGCCTTCCACCCATACTCATACAAGAAACCCTAATCAAGTTCAATTAATTCATGTAAAAAACACATATACACACAAACACGAGAGAGAGAGAGAGAGAGAGAGAGAGAGAGAGAGAGAGAGAGAGAGAGAGACTATGGAGTGATGATATAGGATAATGATGATTAAAATGACCAGAATTCATTATATACATGTATTATCAAGGAATAAAAAATAAAAAGAATTACTTCTAGTGTAATTCTAGTGTAGGGTTTGAACAAACCACCCAGTGAGCCCACAGGAGAGGAAATTTTCCTTCTTGGGGATGCCAGCTTTCCCTAGATGGAATGAATAGCCTCAACGAGACACTTCAGGCCCCTGGAATTCAGTGTCAACTTGTTATTATTCATCATTCCACCTGGAACTGCCACTATAGCTCAAGAGCTTGGCCAGATACTAAGGACTGGGTGGCTACTTCTCCATCCCCCCACTGACATATGGTCCTTCCTCCCACATCCTCTGCTGGAAAATATCACCCACACCTGAAGCCCTCACAGGAAGATTCCAGCCACCCGAGGCCGAGGTTGTGGGGGGTGCACACACAGTCCCCTCGGCCACCCACTACCAGGGACACACACAGAGAAGAGAGCAACTCAGCCTCGGGAACCCCCACAATCCACACATAGCCGTGGGGGGTTGGGTGGAGGCTTAAAAGCACACTCTGTACACAGTCATTGGCTTGTGATTGTGGAGACATTTAAGAAATGGAAGCAGAGCCAGCAGCACATGCAAAGGGCTGATGTCAGGAAGGCCCACTTGAGCTCGTAAAGTGACAGTAGACCCAGGTGTTGGAACCTAAGTACAATAACTTTTCCATGCCTGTAGAGCCAGTGCTGGAGGTGAGGCCAGGCACCTGGATGTGGTTGCTGGCTCTGATCTGGGTGCCTCATAGTGTCAGATGGAAACACAAACAACCACACCCATCCTACTGAGCTGTGGAGGTGAGAGCAGGATGTCTCTACATGTGCACTGCTGGTGTTGGGGGTAAACCTCTGGTGTAGAATGGACCTTGCACTACAAGAAGCTGAGCCATGCTGTTGGCCTCCACCATTAGACCCCAGTAGCTCCCTCCATCCAGTGGTGATGACTAAAACATGTCCCCAGAGAGGTGGGTAAAACAAGATGGTGGTCCTCAGTAAAGAATCACAGAATTAAGTGGACTCGGATTTCTAAAGACACATGAGTACAGCAATAGAGCCTTGGAGTGAGGAAGAAAATGTTTTGCCCTAAAGGCTGCTATGCTCTCTGAGAGCCATGCCTACCCCCGTGGGACTGATATGGGTGTCATTTGGACTGAATGTTTGCTTATGCCCCTTATTATTAATGTGTTGAAATCCCAGTATGTCTAGAGTAGGAGATGGAATGTTTGGGAGGTGAGGTGACTTGATCATCACCATCAAGCCCTTCTGAGAAGACTAGAGAGTGCTCTCTTCTCTCTCTCTCTCTCTCTCTCTCTCTCTCTCTCTCTCTCTCCCTTCCTCTCTCTCTCTCCTCTCTCTCTCTCTCTTTCTGCCTCTGTCTGTCTGTCTGTCTGTCTGTCTGTCTGTCTGTCTCTCACTGGCTTATTCCATTCCACAAGTACACCATCCTCAAGCCAAGAAATGGCTCTCACTAGTAGACACCGTGATGTTGACTTCTCAGCCTCCAGAACTGTGAGAAACAGATTTAAGATGATTAAGGCCCCAGTGTCCTATATCTGTTTCAGTAGCCTGAATGCATGAAGACTACTGCATCCAAATCACTGACTCAACCTCAAAAGTATCCAAAGCTTATTAAAGACCGACAACCTTAAGCCTTTGTCTTTAAATAATACACAGCTATGTGGGTCTAAAATGTAAAGTCCACACACACACACACACACACACACACACACAAAATGACATGAGGGTTTCAAAGCAAAGTGTTGCTTCATGTGAACCTCAACACACATGAATTCACAGCTGCCAAATGCAGCTGTCAGTGCACAGGGAAATGTTACTGAGATGTGAAAGGTGGTGGCCAAGATGGACTCCATGCTTTACAAAATAGATAAGAGTACAGTTGGCAGCAGAACTACCTGGGTAGCTTTGAGCTGGAAATTGGCCTCTGGCTCATGCTTATGCACAGCGCAATTGGTGCATATAAGGTGAGGAGTCAGTGAGCTAAGGAAGGCATTTTGAGCACATAGAATAGTCCCTGGCAAATATGGAGCATGAAATGTATGGGGATTGCCTTGGCTTGAATATTAAGTTTCAGTAGGGTCTATGAATGAAGGGGTATTATGGTCAAATGTCCAAAAAGATGACTTAACCCAAGTTAAACAGTGTTTTTTTTTATTTCACACACTTCTCAGAGCCTTTATAACACTGATAAACAATAAACCTTGGAGGAGGTGACCTAGAGAGACAGAAACTATAGACTTTTCTTCATGGGATGGTTCATGACCCTAGTGTTGTATAAAACACAGGGTAAACTACACTGCTCAGACAGTCCAGCTTCACGTGTAGTCTAAATTAATTGTAACCTTTTCTAAGAATGTGAAGACCCATTCGCTGTAGAAGATATGCACCCCTGGCTGCTAACATGAGCTGTGTAAACATTCAGAATGGTGTGAAATCCAGGCTGTCAGTGCTGACTTCTGCATCACTCACCCGAGACCCCTTTTCAGGAAAACACTGGCAGACAGAGCAGTTTCTTCCTCCACAAGGGCTGCCGTATTTCTTGCCACTCTGGAAAGTGAAGCCATTTGTTCAGTTTATCTGTCCTCACGGCTCAGTTCAGTTCATAGAGTACACAACACAACAAGCCCCACGTGTGCAAATCCCACGGGGTGTTCCTTACCTTTAGATCCGGGAAAACCAAACATTAATGGATTTATTCTGAGACAGGTTGTCACTCTGCGGCCAGGCTGCACTCAAACTTTTGATCCTCCTGCCTCAGCTTCACAAGTACACTCTCACACCTGGCTGCAGTGAGTAATACTGGCACATGAAAAGGAGGAGCACCCACACCATGGTACAGTCCCTGGGGCACTGTTGCATGGGTCAGACCCTCCAAGCCTGGGGACACTGGAGGAAAAGGAAGCTTACTCAGAGGCCACCAGAGCCTGAGTCATTTAGAGGCTTTCTCTCCTGTGAAGACTTCAGTAGCAAGTTGTGAACAGTCTAAGGGTGTAACTATGCAGTTAGGCAAGCTGTGCACGGACAAAGTCTAGTTTCAGTGGTAAACTTGACTTTCTCCCCACAGCCCCCTTGTGTCACCAAATGAATCCTTCGTAGGACAATTCTCCGGATGAGTCTTACAATTTTCCTTCCTGCAATTTTCTGATTCTCCAAGGCCGCTCCTCTAACGTGTCCTTCAGTCACAAGATCCTGAACCCCAGTCATTTGGGCAGTTTCCTGCTTTAATGGACTTTTCTTTAACTCTCTCTAGAAAGTCCACACACACACACACACACACACACACACACACACACACACACACTCACTCACACAAGCATCTCTCTGCCCTTTGTGAGACACACTATGTATTCCCAAAAATTACTATTTCCATATGTGCAGTCTTTACAAAAACCAGCAAGCTTCAAGCACCTTCTTTTACCCTCTAAGGCTGTGTCTCAGGTGGGAAAGGGGAGTTAAATACTAGTGGCAGAAATAAGATTATCAAGAAAGCACAGAGACAAACTTTGTCTATAACAACCTTGATTATTTGTATAATTGAGATATCATTTAAGCTTAAGGCAATGAACATACCCTAATGTAAAATGAAAGAAACAGAGTACAGATAATTTTTAACCAAAGCATTCTGGAGCTAGAGGCCAGAGAATCAGGTCAAGTTCAAGGCCAGCCTAGGTTATATGATACACTGTCAGAAAAAAAGAAAAAAGAGAGACAGGAAGGAAGGAAGGAAGGAAGGAAGGAAGGAAGGAAGGAAGGAAGCAAACCACTAAGCCAATAGTTGACAACAAACCTGGTGGAAGATCAGTTAGTAGGTGTAATACATGCATATTAATATATAGATATATATTACATATAAATATATACACAAGCACACACAAATACATGTATATGTCCATATATATGGGTGAGGGTGATAAAAGACAAATGGTCTACACAAAAGGTTTTTTAATCACTCAATCTAAGCTTCCTTTAAGGGACAGTGGTGGTTTGAATAAAAATGGCCTCCATAGGCTCATAGGGAGTAGCATTATTTGAAAGGATTAGGACATGTGGCCTTGCTGGAGGAGTGTGCCATTGGGGGTGGGCTTGACGTTTCCAGTGCTCAAGACAGGCCATGTCTCTCTTTTCCTGCTGCCTGCCAAACTAGATATAGAACTCTCAGCTACCTCTCTAGCATAATGCCTGCCTGCATGCTGCCAGGGTTCTTACTATGAGGATAATGGACTGAACCTCTGAACCCGTAAGCCAGCCTCAATCAAATGTCTTCCTTTATAGGAGTTGTCACTGTCATGGTGTCTCACAGGAATAGAAACCCTAACTCTAAGACAAGAAGGAATATTTTCAGACAGTATCAATGAGAAAGTATCTTCAAGCATTACATGGAAAAGGCATCTTTATGAACAAAGTTGTTATGGGTCATTAAAAGCTAATAAGAGTGCTTGAGGGGCTAAGAGACAGGCCAGTCTTTAAAGTGCCTGCCATATGGGCATGAGGACTTCGGTTCTGGTTTCTGTCACCTATGTGCAAGGTTGGGCACAGCAGGGCAGGTCTGCAATCCCAGTGTTGAAGTGGTGGACACAGAGATCCCTGGGGCTTGCTGGACAGGTAGTATGGCTATATTGGTGAGCTCCATATTGATAAGAAACTCTGTCTTAATAGAGCAATAGAAACATATACTCAGTGTTGACCTTTGTCCTCCCCATTCATGTGTGTGAGCACATACACACATAACACATAAACCACACATAAATACATAAGGTTGAAATTTCAGGAGTGTATGACTCTTGAGTTTTAATTACCATTGTTATCTGTAAATGCATGAGTTCAAAATTCTGAAAAGTTAGGAATGAAATGCCCAGGCTTGGCTTGAACAGCACACAAGCACATGCTAGTCTGAGTGCTTGGATTCATTTAAGATCAGAATTCATTATTGTGTTCAGTGAAATGCCAAAATAATGATGAAAATGGAGTCAGTAGATTAGATGCCTCGATAACGAAGGCAGGATGTTTATTTGATATTTGTTTATTTTGCCAAGCATCACTGAGACAGGTGAGGTGGGATTACATTTCAGGGGTCATTTTAAAATAGATTAGAAGATTATAGGAAAGAGACACCTGTGGTGATATATTATTTATGATTTATTAAACTCACCTGAAGATAAGAGAAGCAAAGCACCAAGCCAATAGATCTTACCTCTACCAAGCTGAAATGGCAATTCTGTCTCCACAAATCCTCAAAGGCAAAAGCTCTTAGTTCCTGTCTCCTCCTGCTTTTATTTCTTTCTCTACCCAACCATATCACTCCTGTCTCCACTTTCTTAGTGCCAGGATTAAAGGCATGTGATCCCAGGTGCTAAGATCACCTTTGTGTGAGCTTTTCTTTCAGGACTGGATCAATTTCATGTAGTCAATGTGGCCTTGAACTAACAAAGATCCATCTACCTCTTAATCCTGAATCCTGGGATTAGAGGTGTGTGCCACTACTGCCTAGTTAGCTAGTATGGCTGCTGGGTTTAAAGGTGTGTATCACCACTGCCTGAGCTCTATAGCTTGTGCCTGGCTTTGCTTTCTGTATCCTCAGGCAAGCTTCAATAAATCATAAATAATAAATCACTATAGACGCGGGGTGTTGGTGGCACTCAGAAGGCAGAGGCAGAGGGATCTCTGTGAGTTCGAGGCCAGCCTGGTCTACAGAGTGAGTTCCAGGACAGCCTCCAAAACAATATAGAGAAATCCTGTCTCAAAAAACCAAAACCAAAAAAACATCACCACTGACATGGGAAATGGGGTGGGAACTGGCAACGGAAGAGTCTGAACTTCATAACGATGTTGTACTGGATAAGGAGATGCAGAGTGTGACACTGGGACCCTATGTTAAAAAAAATATATATATACATATACATATACACATACATACATACATACATACATGGTGGTAGAAGATTATGATCCCAGTCCTGGTGAGGCGGAGACTAGCAGATCTCCAGGGCTTTCTAAGCAGCCATCTTATCCTACTTGGCAAGTTCCAGGACAACGAGAGACCCCGTCTCCAAAACAAACGAAAAGAAATGGAGGTGGGTAATGCCTAAGGAGCATCTGAGTTTGTCTGCTGGCCTCCATACTCAGTAAACACATGTACACATGTACACACACGTACACACACACACACATGGGGAGAGAGAGAGAGAGAGAGAGAGAGAGAGAGAGAGAGAGAGAGAATGTAAAGCCATTGAAAAAGAAATACAAGGACAGTAAATACGACAGACAATTAAACATTCACAGCCTGAACCACATAGCTAGGAATATACCTGTCTGATTTTGTGTGTCAACTTGACACAAGCTAGAGCTATCAGAGGAAGGAAACTCAGTTGATGAAATGCTTCAATGAGATGCAGCTATAAGGCATTTTTTCAATTAGTGATCAATGGGGGAGGACCAGCCCATGATGGGTGAGGCCATCCCTGAGCTTCTGAGCCTGGGTTCTATAAGAACATGGCTTGAGCAAGTCATGGGAAGCAAATCTAAGTAGACAGCTCCCTCCATGGCCTCCGCAACAGCTCCTGCCTGAGATCCTGCCCCATTTGAGTTCCTATCCTGATTTCTTTCTGTGATGAACAGTGATATGGAAGTATAAACAAAATAACCTTTCCCTCCCCAACTTGCTTTTTGGTTATAGTGTTTCATCTCAGCAATAGAAATGCTAAGACAATATCCATACTTAAAACCTCACTGGGAACACACCTATACTCACACACTCACTGGGAATACACACTCACACACTCACTCGTAACACACACTCACTGGGAACACACACTCACACACTCACTGGGAACACACTTATACTCATAAACTCAATGGAAATACACCTACAACCAAGCCAACTTATTTTTCTTCAAAGGAAAACAACAGGAGAAGCTACCCTTCTCTACCTCAGATGTCATAAAACACATGCTTAGCTCATAGAAAAGGTCAAGGAAAGGAAAGCATTAACTTCTAAAAAGTTAATTCTGCCCAGTATTTGTACCTACCCTCTTTCTTTTGGAAGAAAATGACAGATACAAAACAAAAAATCAAGCTGTATAAAAGCATAGCATATAGAGGGCATTTTGTCTTTATGTGCTGGCCTCAAGTTCCCTACCTGAAGAGGATTCATCTCTTTACATTGTTATGTAGGTATTAATAAGCTTATTGAACCACATGCACCCCCAATGTTGGTGATTTGGATTGTTTCATTGATACCCGAGTGGCAGGCTGCCGAGTACCTGGCCGTTTTCACATAATCACTATTTCCCTGTTCAATTTGACATGTTCTTCCTGCTGTCCAGCTCATACAGTATCAGCATGTATGCACCCATTCCCTGCTGGTAAATACTTAGGCTACGCCCTTCCTCAGCTGCTGAACACCACCCAGCAGTTAATATTCTTGTGCATTCATCTCTGCACATGACAGAATAGAAATATGTGACAGATTTTTAAAATGCATCCCCGCCCCCCAAGGAATGTACATTTAAATAGTGGTAGATAACACAAACTGTTTTCCACAGGCACTGTGTCAATTCACAACTTCCCCTTAAATCCAAGTTATCACCTTTCTGCTCCCTGCATGAAGACTCAGAAATCTCCCTGCACCACAAGCTGATGGGAGAGTCCAGGATTGAAATGTCTTTAGTTGAGGAACCACATTCACTCACAAGGATATAAGGAGCAAGGAGAATGAATTTTAGGATGATGCAAACTTTCATAATAGAAAAATAATTGCATGCAATACAAAAATAAGCTTGGGAGACTCAGGTATGATTAACTAGAAAAAAAACGCTCCCAAGACAGCATCACGGGGGCATCCTCAAATGTGCATTAACGAAACTGAACAAGTCTCTTTCTGCTTAACATGGGACTGAGACCGAGTCTTAGCTGGGTTAAAGAGTAAGTAACAAGGGAGAACCAAGAACCAAGGGCTTCTTACTCCTTGACCCAGGTTAGTAAAAAGGGAGTAGAGATATTTTCTATTTCAGTTACTTCACAAAGGTCTCTGGTACTCAAGGGACTTAAGTGGGGCAGCTCTCAATTACTCCAGTGGTCTTCAGCCCGAATGGCAGGCATCCCTTAACAGGACATCCCTGAAACCTGTGAGGTTGGGTTCATAATTAGATTCTTCCTCGAGGGAGCAGAAGAAAGAGGGCTGGTTCAGCCTGGCCTTTCTCTACAGCTAAAAAACATCCAGACTGAATCTTTCATTTCTTGATTTAATCTTGAAATGGCCCAGCTACTTCTTTTCTGTTCCAAATAAAAAAGAATTTAAGGAAGGGCTGTGGTTATTTTAAGATAAAGGCTTCTCCAACACCCAGGCAATTTTATAAGCAGCTTTGATTGGAAAAATATCAAAGTGGCCCTGGGCTATGTCTTATCTCAACATCCATTTCACAGATATGAAGACTGAGCCCAGAGAGTGACTAATTTAAAAATATTCTAAAAACATATAAATCATATGTCCTCTCAAGAATCATATATTCAACAAAGTAAATTTTCCATGTACAGAATAAATTCATATACTTACCCCATATTCATATTGTATGGTAAAAAGAATAAATATTAGTGACCTATGAAAAAGCAAAAATACAAAGTAAGTGTTTGCTTTCATGGAAAACAAGAAAAACAGTATTAACTCCAGAAGGCTGGTTCTCACTTGTAACTGCTACCATCAGCCACAATCAGTGTCACCATCTCTCCAGAAGGCTAGTTCTCACTCCTAACTGTTACCATTTAACACAGTCAATGTCATCATCTCTCTGGCTACCATCATTGCCTCTCTCTTATCAGTCAGGGAAGACATATTTGAAGACCCTTGGTGTGGATATTTTAAAGGTCCTGATGCTGGTGTGCATCTATGATGAGTTGATGCTCCTGGCCATACTATACATACCCCTATTCCCACCTCTACCTTTGGTGGTAGGAGAATGGGAACCAGGCCTTGGGCTTGGTTTCATGTAGCCTTTACCCCTTTGAAATCATGTGCTAAGTGAATGCCGATTGGTCAATAGCCAGGCAGGAAGTATAAGCAGGAAAACCAGACCAGGAGAATTCTAGGAAGAGGAACCAGGAGTGAGTCACCAGGAAGACCCATGTAGCCGCCAAAAGAGTAGCATACTGTAGCATTACAGGGAAGCCACAGCCTCATGGCACTACATAGTTTAATAGAAATGGGTTAATAATTAAGAGAGAGCTAGCCAATAAGAAGCCTGAGCCGTAGGCCAAACAGTTTGTAATTAATACAAGCATCTGTGTGTTTATTTGGGACTAAAGGGCTGAAGGACCCGGTGAGACAGAAACTTCCATCTTCATTTGAGTGTGACCCTGATTAAGAGAGCAGAGTTGGAGGATCTCACTGACTGAAATCAAGGTATTTGGGGCCTGTGTTCCTGAACAGGGAGAGTCTCCCCCTTGCCATTTTCAGATTCCAGAAGTGTCCATGTTCTTTGGCTCATGGTCCCTTCCATCTCCAAAGCTAGTGCTCTGTGATCTCTGCTTCTGCTGTGATGTCTTGTTGACTGATGCTGGTCTCCCTCCTCCTCCCACATCTAAGAATCCTTGTGATGACATTGGGTCCACCAAAATAGTTCAAGATCCCCTCTCCCACTCAAGATCACCTCAATTCCATCTGCAACTATAAATTCCTCTTCTCGTGTAAATAACATATAAACAAAAATTAGGATGTATACATCTTTGAGGTCATTAACCTGCCTGTTGCACTCATGAAAATGCATTGTCCTCACTCTACTGGTTTCAGAAACTCTGAAGTTCTAGACATTTCAAGCTTTTGCTGTTCAAATCCAGCAAGTAAGATAGCAGGAACCTGGGGCTTTTAGTTGTACAGCACAGACTCATGTTCTGTCATGATGTGGGTGCATTTGAGGGAGGATGTTGGTGTTTAAAAGTCAGGATTGGTCCTAAATGGCATCAGAACTTATTCCATAAAGACATGCACACAGCAAGGATACTCACCAGGGGCCTATAACTGAGGGCTTGAAAAAGCACCTCATGAAGACCTGGAGCACAAGTACCCTCACTGGTGACCTCTGGGTCCAAAATATTTCTGCAGTCTTCTCTCTGCCAGAAGGCTCTCATGGACAGTGGAGAGTCTGTGTCCTATGTTAGAATCCATGCACATGAAATATAAATAGGTTTCTCATAACAACAGGGTGCAATAAAATTGAGAATAACGGCTTCCATTATTGTGTCAGTGATAAAAGCATTTTCTAAACAACCTCAACAGCTGTTGACATAGCAATCTTTTCTTAGTGCTTGTCATACTGAATAAATATCCTTAGAGATTAAAATATCCTACTGGGGCAAGAGGGTATGATGGGGAGGGGCAGAGACATAGAAAAGAGGAACAGGGTGGGGTGAAGGGTGAAGATGAGGAATGCATGAAAATACCATAAAGAAACCCGTGACTTTGTAGGCTATCTTTACATAAGGTTTTTCCTTTATTTTTGTTTTATGTGTATGAGTGTTTTGCCTACAAATATGTCTGTGAACAATGTGCATGCAGTGTCCAAGGAGGCCAGAAGAGGGCATCTGATCCCCTGGAAGGGAGAGTCAGAAACAGTTATCCACCACCATGTGGGTTCTGGGAATTGAATTCAGGTCCTCTGAAAGAGTAGCTAGTGCTCTTACTCACTGAGTGTTCTTAGCCTTAACCATTGAGTGATCTCTTCAACCCCTTGTAAACTAACTTTAAAAGACAAAAAGAAATAAAATAGAAATTGAACTATTCTCAAGTCCTCTATATGTAATAAGCATATTTTTGAAAACTGGGATAGATTTGTGAGAACTAAAAACACACTTTCACAGTACACTTATGAATATTTATAACAACCAAAACTGAAAAAATAAATTGATTGATTAATGGAAAAGCAAAATATTATACAATGCAATGGAATACTATTACACCATAATAAGGAATTATACAAGGACATGTGCTGCTTCATGGACGAACCTTGAAATCATCATGAATGTCAAAAGCACATAGACAATGGACAAATCCACAGAGGCAGAAAATAGATTAGCAAGTATTATGGGTAGGAGCAAATGGAGAATTGGGAAGTACAGGGTTACCTTGGGAATGACAGCAATGTTCTGGGATTAGAGAATGGCCATGGTATGCCTCATGACTTTATCTAGGTCTACTCAGTGATACACTTTAGATGAGTTAAAATGGCGAGCTTTGCTTTTTTAATTTTTTTGTGAACAAGAGAAAACATTTTTATACTTAACCCAAAGAACTCTGGACTTTTATCTAAAATCTCTTTGAATCTAAAATCTCAAAGAATGGAGGTGTCTCATTTTTAAAAGTTTGGCTCCTCTGAGCTCCTGCCCTTGTAGGAACTGGTAAGAAGAAGGGAACCAGGCACATCTGATATCAAAGCTATTTTTCAATTTCTGGATGAAATATGGGCAAATAAATTCACAGTATCAACTGAAGACCAGTTTCCCTGATGAGTGGAGGAACCGCATTCCATGATAGCTCCAAAACCAAGTACAAATACAATTATGGAGAACACATAGATCTTTTCCATACCCAAACTGAACATTTTAAATAGCTTTTGATTTAAATTTACATTCTGGAAATGAATCTCAATAAAATGAATTATTATTTTAGAAAGAAAATACAAATTGATTTGAATCATTTTAATTATACTCAATATTGTAAACAAATGGAAAATTGTCCAAAACTATGGAAAAAAACAAAGATATTTGTATTTAAATTAAAAAATAATCAGTGCAGGACCTGGAGAGATGGCTCAGAGGTTATGAACAGTGACTATTATTCTTCCTGAGTTCAACTCCCACCAACCTCATGATGGCTCACAGCATCTATCAGGGGACCTGATGCCATCTTCTGGCATGCAGGGATACATGCAGATGCAGCACTTATACCTTAAAAATACATAAATAATAAGTAATTTTAAAAAATAATTAATTCAGTTAATCTCCACAGTCCCCTAGGCAACTGTGAAAAAGTTTTCACAGAGGAATACTACTAAAATGCGGAAGAAGGATGCTTGTGCCTGTTACTGTCCTAACATCTGGAGTTTGACTACTGCCCTAACATCTGGAGTTTCTCAATACACTTGGATGGATGATTTCTAGAGACATCAAAATAAAAATGTTACAGCATCATTTTAGAAATATCAAGTGCATTATAATGTCACCACAGTCCAGTTTTCACCACCAACAGGTAAAAATGTTGCCCATATATTATTTAATGGAAATTTGCAATGCTCAGTTTTTATTATGAATTTATGTTTATGTAGCATTTATCCCATATATACCCTATTGCTTGTGTGTGCAGCTGCCCATGTATGTGCATGTGAAGGCCATAGGTCAAACTTGGGAGTTGTTCCTTGGGTGTCACTGGCCTTGTTCCTTGGAAAACAATTTAGCATTAGCCTGTAGTTCCCCAAGTAGGCTTGTCTGACTGGTTGGTGAGCCCTAGGGATATCTAGGATGGCCTAGGGATGAGAGTAACCCAGTTTCTTTTCTGTTGCTGTGATCAAATACCTTGACAAAACAACCATTGGGGAGAAGGATTTATTACACTTACAATTCCAGGATATGATTCATCACTGCAGAGAAGTCACAGAAGCAATCAAGAACAAAGAGAATGAATGTTCCCATGCTTCCTGCTTGCTCTCATTAAACTCCTTCCTGTTAAGGTTTCCCACCTAAGGAATGCGTGCCCCCCAGTGGGCTGGGTCTTCCTACATCAACTAATAATCAAGATAATCCCCTACAATTGTGTATACAGGCCAACCTGACCTAGACAACTCCTCAAAAGAAACTCTAGGGTTTTTCTAGGTTGTGCCTGGCTGAAGGTTAAAACTAACAAACACAGACAGTGTGCTCTTCTCTTGAAAGTATATATACATATATATATATATATATATATATATATGTGTGTGTGTGTGTATATATGTATATATACACATGCATATATGTATGTATATATGCACACACATATATGTATGTATATATACACACACATACAAATATATATGTATATATATACATATATATATATATGAGAAGGTTCTCTGTTGCAATGGCCATTATAAAGTACATTAAAGTGTTTGATCCAACTTCCAAATACATAAAAAAATTACCCTATCTCTCACAACAGCCGCCCTCTCGCTTAACATCCTACATTAATGACTGATATTATCTGGAACTAGATGACATACTACGTTTATGTTTGAGTTTATTGCTGCTACAAAGAACATAACTCAAACAGCCTGAAATGCTATGACACTAGGATATATGCAAACAACGTTAGATGATCCGCTACATGGTCAGTCTCTGCAGAAGTTACGTGTCTTTTGACAGAAATGCTTTGTCATTGTTGGCTGTTGCTAATAAAAGGCACATAAGCCATGGTGGCATCGGGGTCCCACTTTCAGACCCACCACATGAAAGCATGGTCAGATTTTCTATTATCTGAGTCCACTTCCTCAGCCCTATGGGAAGGATCACGATAAACTCTGGATTCAAGGCAACCCAACCCAAAACATGCCTCTGTGACAGAGAACTCAGACTCCCGGCTGGAGAATAGTACCGAGTAAGGTTCTGTGGGAGAGCAGGAATAAGCACGCTAAGAAGAAAAGAAGTGAAGGAAGAAAGATGCATCAGGAGATGGCCTAGGGTACAGTCCAGGTGAAGAGTAAGCTTGAATTGGGAGGAAAAACAAATCTGCTAAGAAGTCACAAAAAGCTGTTGTTGGAGAGGAAAATGCAACAAAAGTCGAAGATCTCCTGAGAGGACGGAAGCCACCCCACTCCTTCCGGTAGTCTTACTGCCGGTTTCCAGTGTCCTGGTGATTGGACCTGTGCAGACAAGGTGAATGGAAAGCTCTCAACTTCCTGAAGGCTCTAAGGCTGTTCCACTCTCACAGGAGGCTCGCTTGCTCTCCGAAAGATTGCACATCAGCACTTAAGTTCGTTTCCAAGCACCTGCTCACTGCAGGCCCCTGTTTGGTCTCCAGGCTCCCCCGCCTCCAAATAGAAACAGAAGTCCTTTTAGCATGTGTGACCAGCAAATGCCACCAGGTTATCTTGCTAACTCCTTGTGATTATTAACTCCACTTCATTTGTTTTTAAACAGGACTCCTTGGTTCCCAGCTCCCCTGGGATGCCTTATGAGTCTCTGCTCAATGTTTTCCAAATGCTCCAATCTTGGGAATCAGATCCAAGATCGTCCAGATTTCCACGAGTTGCACCATGGGTAATTTGTTTTCTCTGCAACAGGCTCTTGGGTTGGAACATATCCTGCTGTGCTCTCATCCATGTGGGCGAGTAGCCAAGGTTGAGAACCAAATGAACAAGGGGCTAAGGCTTGGACTTTTCTGTTCACAAAATGCTTATAGGAGTTTATGTCTTTTCCTCCTTTGGTGACACTAAATCTGTGAGTTCTGTTAAGTGCCCAGGCTTTGTTCTCTCTGTGCAATAATTTCCTATTTACTCAATGAGTACCTTGTGCTTACCACCTGATGCTATGATTATCAGAAGTTTCTTTCTGGTGATAAACCATTCTGATTGTGTGAGCAACTATATTGTGTATTTTTTCTTTTTCCAAACTAGATTTTTCAATGCTTGACCTTTTATTTAAAAGGGGTGGGGTTGGTGCCAAAGAAGTGGCTTGGTGGTTAAGAGCACTGACTGCTCTTCCAGAGGACTGGGGTTCAACTCTCAGAACCCACACAGTGACCTACAACCAGCTATTATCTCTGCTTCAGAGGGATTTTGTAGTCTCTGCAGTCACTGCATGCATGTATTGCACAGACATGCATTTAGGCAAACACCCATCCTCATAATTTTTTTCTAATTAAGGAAAGCTCTCAGAGATTAGGAAGCCACTCCCAGTTATGTGTAGGGGAGCTTTATTAACCCCAGTGTACTAGAGAACTTCCTTTCATGGCCTACACCTCCCCTGCTAAGTGTTAAGTTGATCAGGGCTGGGAATGTACTTCAGTTGACAGAGTGCTTGCCTAACATGCATGAAGCACCAAGTTCATTGCATAAGTAGGGAACCCCAGAACATGGGACATCGAGGCAGGAGGACCAAAAGATCAAGGTCCATCCTGATTGCAT